CGACAGCTGTTAGCTGCCACGTGGGTGCTGGGATTCGAGCCTGGGTCTTCTGGAAGAACAGCCAGTGTTCCTAACCACTGAGCCCTCTCCGGCCCCACCCTGACCTCTCTCAGTAAGGGTGGCTCACACCATTAGATAGAGCCCTCGCGCTGCATCAGCCCTGTCACTTCCCATCTCCTGTCACACACTCACAGGTTTTCAACTTTTAAGGAATTTTAAACCCCGAGGCCAGTTACTTGTATATTACTATTGTTTTAAAGCAGTGAACTTTTATTAAGATTTATTTTTATTTATGTGTGTATCTGTGTGTGGGTATGTGCGTGTGTGTGCAGACAGCTAAGGAGGCCAGCAGAGAAGGCTGGATCCCCTGGAGCTAGAGTTACAGGTGGTTGTGAGCCATCCGACATGGGTACAGGGAACCGAACTCAGATCCTTTAGAAGAGTACTCCACACTCTTAACCAGTGAGCCATCTCTCCAGCCCCTGAAAGCAATAAACTTTTAACACAAAGTAGAGTACCAGCATCTAAATCTGTACCAGTCAGTCATGCTGTTACCACAGCTTGAACCATAACAGAGGGAGGCCTGGGCCCTGGGAACCCAGTGACAAAGGTACTAGGGCCTGGGTGAGGCTGCGCCAGCAGTGCTAGAAAGCAGATCACCCTTCTGTACTCCGCAAGCTCTAGCCCTTCCCACATACCGCCTGAGAACTACAGGGCCCAGCCTGCCCGGGACAGGTACCTCGTTCATGTAGCCTGATGGCTTCTGCGAGGTACGGCACCAAAAGGCGGTTCACAATAAACCCAGGAGTGTCCTGTTACAGAAGAGAGAAAAAGACAAGTGACTTTTCATTGAAGTTGGCCTTCTGTGAAGCACCTGATCTCCTTATTCTGAATTGTTCTGCCCACACTTACACTATACACATTTTCCAAAATGTGCTACGAGATGCTTCTAGCTCACATGGTGATACTCCCTCTTCTGTCCCACTTCCCTTTCAGGAACCTGGAGGTGTCCACCTTGACCACTCCTCCAAGGAGCAGCGCTTCCAGGCCCAAGGTGCCATCCCTGGATCCACTTGGTGTGTCTCACCTCGCAGCACACTGCAGCACACTGCAGTACACGTCCCAGTGTCGTCAACTTAGGAGCAGGTGCCAGGCAGGCTGGCTTTTCCCAGCAGGGTGCCACACAAACACCATCAAAGCACCTCACCATGAAATGGCTCCTGCGCTGCTCTTCTTCCTCTGACTCCTGCTCCACAGTGCACCCAACTGTCTCTCTGGGACTCAGGGTAGGATTTGGATTTTACCTGCTGATCACCCTCAAGAGCTTAAGAAGGCTGGGTTGGGGTTTTTAGTGGCTGGTTTTTACCAAAAGGCTCTGATCTGAGGGCAGAAAGTCTCCTCTGGTCTGGGCCTTGCACTCTGGCCCAGCACATACCCGACACTCTACTAGGTGTGGAATGGAAATTGGCCAGGCTCCAGTACACTCAGGGCTTCGCCGGCTTCACACTTTCACAAACTCGGCAGTGAAGAAACCGGATCCAAATGCCCTTCACCTCTGTATGCTGAAAGCAAGCCCCACCACTGGCAGACAGGGCAGAGATGTACCAACAAGCTCTGGCAACTTAACCAAGATCATACTAACAACACAGCATTGTTTCACTGTTTTTATCATAGCTAAACATATACCTCAGTGTCAGGCTTACTGTAGAAACAGGACAGAGAACCTGTACTATGTATTACATACTATACATAGTTGTACTTGCCCTATCTTTAAACAGCTGGCAGCCCAGCATGTCTGTTTACATTACCACAAACATGTATCATGTTGTACTGTGACTTCAGAATGGCTATGATGTCCCCGGGGCAAAATGAACATCCTAGTTCCATATACAATCTTTTTAAAAATTTTTATTTTATTATTTTTAATCTTATGTGTATTAGTGTAATACCTGCATGTACGTGGGTGCACTCACGTTGTGCAATGCCTGTAGAGGTCAGAAAAGGGAATCAGATCCCTTGGGGAGCTGGAGTTAAAAACGCTGTTGGTTCCACGTGGGTGCTGAGAATCAAACCCGGGTCCTCTGCATGAGCAGTCAGTGTTCTTAACCACTAAGCCATCGCTCCAGCCCCTCCATATATAATCTTATAGGACCACTGGTACTTGTGTCATCTGTCACTGACATTGTCACGTGGCACGTAACTGTACTCACTGTCTTTTATGGAGAGGTTATGATCCTTGTTCTGTGTGGCTGACATATGTTGTCTGGAAATGCTTCTTCAAGAACCTTCTAGAAACCCTAGAAACCTTCAAGACTGCACCTACAGAGGCTCTGCTCTGGGACCACTGTATCGCAGCAGTTGCTGCTGACGCTAGGAGTCAGCATTCCCCATGATTAAGTGGTAAGAGGAACCCGGCTTTCTTGCCTTACATTCATCCTCTACCTTCTAGTTGGGACACATGCTGATGTGCTTTCTAATACAATTATTATTTTCTCTCACTGATACAGGATAAATAAGGAGAGTGCAAGCACGTTAGTGTGATTAAAAATTAAAACTCAGGTGATTAGCTAAAAAGCTAAACAAAACTGGATATAAAAAAGAGACTCCTTAATTACCTACCCAACCTCCTGACTAGTGGACCAGCATGTGAGTCTGCTGTCTATATGGTTTGTTCAGAGAATTAATGAAAATATGATTATTTGGGGGATTTAATAAAATACTGAGTTCAAACTTAAGAATATTTTAGAAAGCAAGTCTTAGAAGAAATCATAATGGTGAGACATCATACTCAAAAAAGTTATTGAGTGACTCACAGAACTCTGAATGGTGGAATTCTTTGTGATGCACATCGGCCTTTCACAAACTCTGCGAGTCATGCAGAAGCATAGCACCTAAGCTTGGGTGAGAGAAGCTGAGCATGGCGTGGTTGTTGGGGGGCAGGGTATCTTAAGAAAGGGAGTGAGAGTTTGAGGGTCAGGCTTGCTTGCCACACAACCATGTCATCTTACAGAAAACCACTTCATTGATGCCACACTGGCCAGGCTGGTCTCACTATTTCCCTAACCATCTGTAGCATTTTTTCCAAATAGCCCCTGGTTTTCTGCTAGGGCTGTGTGTCCACCAGACTATACCTATACAGGGTTCCAATTTCCACCCATCAGAAACAGTTGAAACTGATGGGGCAACAGAAATTGTTTCCAAAACACAACTGCTCATCAACAGACAGAAGTCAGAGCCCAGACAGGCCTGTCTTCTGTTCAGCTGAAGCTTGGGATCCACTCAGACCTCAGACTACACACCTGGTGACACTGGGCAGCACCAGGCATGGCTTAGGAGATGGGTTTCCTGGCCCACAAGCTGGAATGGAGACCCAGCCTGCCCTTCCAGCCCATAGACAGGCCTGCTATAACCAGTGCCCAGCTTCCCACACCATCCTATTAGAAGTATTCTAGAGTAGTAAGTTGGCATCCACAGAAAATCACCTCTTTCCCAGATCACCCAGAGTTGGATGCTGTTTGTCCCCCCAAGGGTTCCTATGGTGGGAGTTTGGTCCTCTGGGAGATGACACAGCACTCTTAAGAAATGGGTCCTTGGGTTACTGAAGACACTGCACTCAGAAGGGAACACTGGCCTCCTAGCTTCCCAAAGGACCTGACCTATGTATCTCTCTGACTTACTGTATGGAGATGTGATCCTTCCTCCTGAGTGCTAGGTGGGCCACTGTGACCCCACTAGCCATGGATCCTCACAAGAACTAAATTGATGCTGGCATTGTGTCCTTGAATTTCTAAACCTGTAAGCTAAATAAATGTCTCTTCTTTATAGTTAGCTGCCTCTGGTATTTTACTACAGTAACAGAAAATGGGCAAATACACTACTCATACTCTACCTTGCAAGAAACAGGATGCTTTCCCAAGGTTTTACAAAAGTCGACCAGAGATTCAAATGTTTTCTGGCTGGTCATTGGTGTTTTAATGACCTGGAAATGCAAAGCATAGGATTAGGACTAGACAAGGCAAACAAGTACTGCAGAATGGGTCAAGGAAACACTGATCCAAAGACTCCATAAGGTGGCAAAAACAACTTTAGTTTTAGCACGATAAGGATCTCAAGCCAAAAGCAAAATGTTTACCAAAATGTCTGTATAACCCAACAGGAGAACCACAAAATTAACAGAATCAGGAACTAAAACACAAGTGTGCATTGGTGGGAGGGAGCAAAGGAGTTTTACAAGTATTGTCCTGCCGATGTCCTGAAGTCAAATCCCCCTGGGATGTTGGGTACTCCGTTCACCTTCAGGAGCTGAGGTGAAAAGACAGACTAGGGGTAAAGCACTAGTAAGGCTCCTAGTGGAGAGGAAGTGCTCAGGAAAGAATGGCTCTGCTTCCTGTTCAGCTGTCCTTCATCACTGCAGGGTGGAAAGTGGTGCGGGTGGAAAGCATGGTCAAGGCTCTGCATGCATCCACCTTCTACTACAGGTGAGAAGGGGTGATGTGCGAGTCACAGCCTCCAGGACTCCTAGATGCACATTCCTCCTTCTGCTCCATCTGCTCCCACACAGGCCCACCACCCCCTGTGCTTCAGAACAGGGTCCTCAAAGGGTAAGTTTCATTTCCACAGCGATGGCCAGGGAGTGTGTATGTGTCGGGGTGGTACTGCCACCAGTCTGACAACCCTTCTGACTTTCCCTGCAGTGCACATGGGGTACAATTGCCATTTCAGTGGCATCTAGAAGCAGTGGCACCAAGCATACGGCAACCCTCATAAATCACCTGACCCAGGTGAACTGCACACATCACATGCACAAGCGTGTACACACACATTTTACATGGCAGTAAAGAACTTCAACTAGAGTCACGGTGAGCAGGCCTGGCCTGGCTTCCACAGCAGACCTTTGCAGCTGCCTGCTCTCTTCTGTGACACGCCAATCATGACACTTGGATGTCTCCCACATCTCAAGGACAAATGGCTTAATCAGCCAAGGTCTGTGGGAAAGAAAGGAGCTACATGAAGGCAGCCCAGCCAGAGGGATGGCAAGATCTGACACTGTGGGAAGCAAGCGAGTGGAGAGAGAAACAAGCACCAGGAGTCAGAGGGGAAGAATAGGACAGAGTAGGCCAGAAATTCCCGTGAATAGCAATCTTTGAGACGTTCCAAGCCAGACTTCGATCAACTTAAGCTGAGGCTTAAAGGAGTTACTGACTGAAGGAGCACCGTCTGATGTCTTTGTAAACAGAAGGTGTGCTGTTTAGCGTCTGTCAACTTGAGACAAACTAGAGTCACCTGGGAAGAGGGTGCCTCAGTTGAGAAACTGCCTCCATCAGATTGGCCTGTGGCCATGTCTGTGAGGCATTTTATTAATGGTAATTGATGCAGGAGGACCCATCCACTGTGGGCAGTACCATCCCTGGGCAGCTGGGCTTGGGCTTATATAAGGAGGATAACTGAGCAAACCAGGGGATACAAATCAGTAAGTGGTGTTCCTCCATGATCTGTGCTTCAGTTCTGCCTCCAGGCTCTTGCCCTGGGTTCCTGCCTGACTTCCCTCAGTGATAGCTTGCCACTTGCAAGTGTATGCTGCAGTAACCCTTTCTTTCCCAAGTTGTTTTTGGTCAGAGTGTTTTGTCATAGCAATACAGAAACACATTAATACAGGAGCAGTATATGGCCATCTCTTCATTCAACAGGGAGCATCATGCTACAGATAGTCTATTGTTCCAACAAGTCCATCCCAAATGAAGGTAAGGACTCAGGCACACGCTCCCATTCATATTGATGCTCACGTCACCAGCAGCAGCACACACATGGAAGCCGACTCTCAACAACCAAAGCCGAAGAGGATGGAACACTTTCACAGAATACTTTCTAGAAAATGGTAACATTTGCTAAGTATTAGCTACTGACAAGAATCCATTTCTCAAAAAAACCTGCAGTTGAAAAGATTATTCGTCTCTACAGAATGTGTCTTTATCTTCAAAATTCAAACATATATGACACAGTAACTGAAATTTAATCATTAAGCACTGAAATGTGATGTCACTTTCAGGGTAAGCCTAAGTGCTGTCTTCCTTGCCCTCAACCCTCCACTGCTAACTTCTTTAAAACTAGACTTAGGAACAATGTCAGCGGGACAGGTGAACCCTTATAAAAATGTTCAGAATGGCCACTCAATAAAAGTGCAGTGGTGGTAACTGATTAAACATGCTTATACTGGGGACCAGCAGTGGGGAGATAGAAGAGGGCCGGAGCGGAAGTCAGCAGTGAACAGACAGATGCGACCCATACTCCCAGAGGCCCCAGCCAATCTCTGGAGGTTTGCCTGGCTCCACAGGGCAGCGTCCCCCACACTTCGCATGATAATAACTCTGAAACCTCAGACCAAATGCTGTTTTAATAGCGGTAGCTCCTTATAACCTGTAATTAGCCCCTATAAAGGGCAAGTTGCCACCTTTCAAGTGCAAATTATCTACTGTGACTCCATCTCCCCAAACTGAGTCTCCCAGAAAGCAGTAAGCAAGGAGAAGCAGCCCAAACAGGAATGCTGGCAAGGCCTGCTTGGCCCCTCCACCTCTAACCTGTGAGGTCAGAAGGCTGCAGCAGCTGATCCTAATAGTCCCCATCACAGCATGGGGATACACCTCACCTGGGACGGTGCTAGAGCACAGCCGCACAGGGCCGAGAATTCGTGCCAGAAGTGATGGCCAAGCTACTGCACTATGTCTGGCAAGAACTGGCACTCCAGCAGGGACAAGCTGGCCTCAGCAACACAATGTAAACAGGCCCAGTCGCCCAGTCTCCCCTCTCCTCTCACCAAGTCAGTGGCCATCAGTGCTGCCTCCCAGGCTGCTGTCCCTTCCAGCACTGCCGTCAGCTCTGGCACAAGCCTGGCAAGGGCATTCTAGACCTTCAAAACAGGCCCATAAAGAAACAAAGTCCTCCAAAGTATTAGTTGCCTTTCTTTCTTTGGCCCTAAAGGGGACAAATCTGACAACACAAGCAAAGGGGCAAGCCTCCAGCTCCTGAAAATCTACCCAGCATAATCTCCACCACAGGAGGGCTGCTGTGACTCAGCAGGCATGCCAGAGTGAACACACACTGGAGCAGATGCCCACTGACCTCCACGAGCTTCATCATGGGGACCGGGTTGAAAAAATGCAGGCCAGCAAATCGGTCTTGTCTGGTGGTAGCATTGGCTATACTTGTGATCTGCAAAGAAGAAGTGTTGCTGGCAAAGATGGTGTGTCTGTGGAGAGAAAAACAGTGAGACCAAATGAGTTCCGCTGTGCAGCACCGCGCTCAGCAGCAGACACGAGAGGCCCAAAGCAAGCAGTTGCGTTCCCACATAAATTGTGATATTTTAAATGAAGTTGCCTGCTCCTTAGAAAAAATCTTCGCCAAGCTTTCCTGAATTTTCAGAAACTAAATTTCTCTTGTCTGCATGGATTAATTTTTGTGACATGGGAGGGAAAGAGAAGCAGCTAAATGAACCTCACAGAATGAAACTCTAAGTGATCAGACACATGAGAAAAGAGGGGTCAGACACGTACACAAGACCACAAAAACCATAAACAGAAATCCTCAGGGAGAAGCATCTGCGGCAAATGTGCACGTGACATTTTCCCCTCAAGTGCAAAACTCTAACTTTTCTGTTAGACGAGAATGGAAATGAAAACCGAATACTCTGAACTTAAGGAAATCCTATGACAGAGACAGTCTGCAAAAGGAGGGTGCATGTGTGCACATATGTTCATGGTATTCTGTGCACAGATGTATATAACAGCAACTTATTAACTTACAAACTTCATACTGGCTTAAACAAAATCTCACTATTCTCTTTTTTTCCGTTTCAAAATTTAATTCATTAAGACCACAGTAAATAGGGAGTGCAGAGGGCAGGAGAGAGAACTCATGAGTAGGGCTTATAGGTTTTCCCACAGCACCACCTTGTGGATACTCTAACAAACCAGCCTGGTGCCAACTACCTAGGGTAGGATCTGGTCTTAGTACCCAAGGGCAGTGGTCCTTACTGACCAGGGTCTCTCTGGGGTTCCTGCTTATCTAAAGGCATTACTACAGTCTGCCCAAAATCAGGGGCAGGCAGGAGAAAGCCCCTGGGGAAAGAAGAAATCAGTGATTTGGAAAGGAGAGAAAGGAGAGGCCGATCCGGGTATGGTAGTGCACGGTGTAATCTCGGCTGGGAAGGGAGACCATGAGTTGGAATTGGTTATCTTGGGCTACAAAGGGAGACCATGTCTTTAAGAAAGAAGCCAGCGGGAGGTGGCTGGAGAGTGGGTGGGCAGTGAAGGATGAAGGTCCTCCTGCATCGTCAGCTCAGGGCAACCTGCTTTCAAGGCAGGCTATTTAAAACCCAAGTAGGGACTTCTCCTTTTTAAGGATTTAAATTTTAGTCTTCTCAGTGTCTTGTTTCTTGGTCTACTGGGAAAATGTAACCTATCCCCAAACAGAGATGGCAACTGTGACGGTTAACTTTGATTATCAGTTTGACTGGATTAAGAAACACTCGGCATTAGTAGAGCTGGCCTTTGGGTGTGTCAGAGAGGGTCAACTGAGGGGCAAGACCCATCCTGAAAGTGAGGCACCCTCCTAAGCAGAATGAAAAAAGAAAAAAGGGGAAAAGGCCAGCTGGAGCCACACTCCCTACTCTCTGCTTCCTGATCCCCGACGGCCAGAAGCTGGTTCTGCCTCTGCGCCTCCTCCATGGCTCCTCCACGGATCATATCCCCCGAACCATGACCCAAAACAAACCTTCCTCTCTTAAGTCGCTTCTTGTCAGCTGGTCACAGCGATGAGAAAGGAAGTAACACAGGGATGGGCACAGCCCCACTGTATAGGACACAGCTGGGCACTGTCTGCTAAGCATATGTAAGCTATGTAGAGCCACACGGATGCAGGGACAGCTATCGCCCAAGGCTGTGCAAATGGCTCCACACCACCCCAAAGGGGAAAAAGGACTTTTCCAGACAGGTGTTCCAGTCAGCATGTGGTACCTTTTCACTGGACATTTGAAGGATCACTTGCCTACAAAGAGGAGACTCTGGCTCACTCTATAAAATGACCTGACTTGACTTGGGTCTGCGTGGCTACAGACCACGGGCACACTCTGCCAGAAGAAGGCGAGCATCTCTGGAAGCCGACCCCTGCCCTGCCTCTCCCAATCAGGTCTAACTGGCTCTGCTCCTGCCAGGTCTCAGGCTGCCTTCCTCCCGTACAAACGCACTGTGTCATTAAACACACCTCACTATCTTAGGTTCCACAGAAAATACATCCTCACATTTTCCCAGACCACCTTTTGTTTTTCTTTCTGACACTCAAATGTGGGGGGTATGGGGGGGGGCTACTTATCTCTTAGAAGTAGTCAAAGAAAACTGTGAGCACAAAATCATTAGCAATGACCCCAGGTCCCAGGCCTGAGTACTGAAGAGACAAGAGAGAAGGAGAGGGCTGGTTGTGGGTGTGAGGACAGCAAAGGGTCCTCAAGTCCACGCTTTGTGGACGGGGGAAGCAGGACTCAGAACCTGGATGAGCTTTTCATTCGTCTAATACTGCTGCCAGGGAAGCCATGTGACTTCCCCTGTGTGATCTCATCAAAGCTTCCAACAGGAACTTTACCACTTGAACATATTTTCTGCCTTCACTGTAACCTAACTGTACTTAGCAGTAAGTATAGCTCAGTAAATCTTCTAAAAACAAAACGAAACTGAAAAAAAAAAAAACCCTCTCAAGAACACACTCAAATGGGAGTAAACTAAAAGGTAAAGAGATTGGAGAAGGGTGACTGAAGGCCAAAAGCAAGCCATATCGTGGGTGTGCACTCTATGGACTGTGCCTTTCCTTCTAATGTCACAGCTACTGAGCCTAGCGTGGTATATGACATCCAGAGTCACATACTCTGCGGCGAACTTGTCCAGTCTTTGGAAGAGCTCGTTCTTCACTTTCAGATTCTCCACAATGGCCTCCACCACCAGGTCTGTGCTGTGGACAACGGAAGCTGCATCTGTGCTGGTTGAGAGGCTACTCAGGGTCTTCTCCACAAATGCACTGCCAGCCTATGTAGAGAGGAAAAAGAAAGAGCAATTACTGGGCCCTACTGCTAAGGCAGAAGGAAGGAGGAGGGCTTGAGAGACCAACACAGCCAAATCCAACAGCAGTCGCCTGGATCTCTGAGACAGCAAACTCCCAACAGTTCTGCAGAGGGACAAGCGCCTCCGTGTGCCTCTAGACAACAGGGCAGGAGAATGCTTATGCACAAACCCAATGTTCAGCCTCTAACACTCTCCTCTGTTGGTGGTGGTCTTTCCACTTAGTCTGCTCCAGTTACTAGACTATCTATATGCAGCACCTGGACTGACTTGCTGCATCTGTTCTAAGTGTATTCATGAAGCCTGCAATTTGTCCTTCCCAAAAGGAAAAGGGTTCAGCTCACTGCCATTTATTAGTCTAGATGGTGCTGGCTACGCTGCTCTAACAGGAAGCAGATGGGATCCAAATTCAGTAGTCATTCATCAAAGTAACAATCATTCCTAATGTGCAGCAACTAATGCTTAAAGACCAACTGGTGTTTAAAGACAGCCACTGCACTCAAAGAGCTGGCCATCTAGGCCTTTCATTCTTTTCCTGTGATTCCAAGTTTGCAAAAACAGACCTTGGGGGCAGGGAAGAGAGGGGGAAGGGAAAGGGGAAAGGGGAGAGGGGAGAGGGGAGAGGGGAGGAGGGAGAGGGGAGGAGGGAGAGGGAGAGGGAGAGGGAGAGGGAGAATGGTGGCACATGCCTTTAATCCCAGCACTTGGGAGGCAGAGGCAGGTAGATCTCTGTGAGTTTGAGGCCAGCCTGGTCTACATAGTGATTTCCAGGACAGCTGGGACTATAGGGA